TGTACATTTGAGCTGTTTTAGTTTCAAGTGTGATTTTGTTTTTGTTTTGTTTTAACCAGTTTCAATTGGGTTAATGATGTGTAGATGCTCTTATTTTGTTTTTAAACCAGGCTTCTCTTGGTTTAGCTTAATTCTGTTAGAAACAGCTGAACTAAAGTAAGCCATTTTTAAACCAAAATAAGAACCTCCACCTGGGTTTACACCAGTTTAACTAAACGGTGTAAAACTGTGTCTAGACAAGGTCTTAGTTTTCTGTATGGAATGTGAAAATGAAGCCAAATATAGTATATCTACACTGCAAAAAAAGGAAAGTGTGTTCTTAACTCAGGTTAATATAGCAGTGAAGACATGGCAAGTCAGGTTAGCAACTCGAGTTGAACCATATAACTTCCCCTACCTCACCCCACCCCAGTGTGGACATACCCTTAGCTTACGGGAGGGGGTCCATGATTTATTTCTGGTGGAACCCTGCCTAAGCTCCGAGTAGAAGTCACACTTTCCATTGGGATCATAGAACCTGTTTCTTATTTATGGGAAGGGCTCTTCACACTACTCTGGCAGTGTTCACTCACTCGAAGGCCCCTTTACACTCCCAGGGAGGAGTCAAAGGGCTTTATTGTAAATGTCTCCCAGGTCGAACTGTTGACGCAGTACTGGTTAGGGAAGTGTTTAATTCTGATTGATCACTTCTGATGTGCAGCGCTCCTCATACTGGGTATACACCCTTGCAGGTGAGTACCCACTTTGCCATGATCGGTGTATTTTTTGTGTGTGCCTGAAAAGACCTTTTATCAGTTCCTATTTGGCTGCTGCAGCACAAATACACATATATGCTTCTCTGGTACCATTTTTTAATGGTGCAGAAAATATTGCTATGTTTCCTTTCTCAACCTACTGCCTTCCCCAACCTCCCGGATGACTTACCTGCTGGGAATGCCAGTGCCAAGATTGGTACGTTTACTAAGTTGCAGCACATTGTTTAAATAAAAAAAACCCAAATTCTAAAGTGCAGCTTCTTATTGTGATGATATGTTTAATTATAGGTGGCAGGGTCTGGACTGAGTCCAAAGGAAGACTGTCAATTCCTCTCTTGCTGTCCACGCTTGGCAGGATGCTTCCTCACGCCCACCTCTCTCTCCCCCTTGCTGTGACTTTGGCTTCCGCCAGATGTCACACCGCTGCTTGTCGCCGCCCAGCCTCCCGTCGCTGATCTTGTTGTTTCAATGTATTTCTCACAACTGTTCTCTTCAGCTGTAAATTCTGAAGAATTTCACGCTCTTCTTAATCACTGCAGTTATTTTAAATCCAACGGCATACAGTGCAAAGCTAGATGGGGATGGAAAATATTTCCTTTAACTGAAGGGAAAGCTTGCATTTCTTGAGAGATGAAAAAATGCATTGTTTTGACTCAGTCCCAAAGTGTTAGCCCATCATCTCTTATGTTAAACCTTTGTAATCACAGTAACAATCTAAAAAGTTCAAAGCTCTTGCTCATGTTAATTAGCAACAAAATTCCATGCCTAGTTTGAAATTGATAAACATCCTGCTACTAAAGTTCAATATAGAGAGTATTTAACAAATGTCTGACTTGGTGCTTTTCTGCTGGAAACCTGAGTTGGAAGACCAGGCATAGAAGAATTGAGGGTGCAAGAGGACCCCGGTACTAGACAACAAGACCTGCCCATGATATGAAAGATTAGAACCAGGCACTTTAAAAAGCATAACATTAATGCTCATATGAAGGTTTTCTTGGGGTTTTGTAATGCTGCCCATCGCCATAGTATCTGTGGTCTTAATTTTTCCATAGAAAGTGCAGAGTTCCTAGTGGACTTCTGGAGTCTCTGGATCCTCCTCCCTTTTGGGGGTAAATACTATTTGAGGTGGTTCGTTTGCAAGCTTTGATTTTATTTGGCTGGTGTGTCTGGTAAATGGGAGTGTCAGCTTGTTGGATACTGGAAAGCTCATAGTTTGCATGATATTTGCAGCATAACTGAAAAAAGCAGAGTAGGACAAATTTGATTTTAGTATTGTGGGGTTGATGGGTCAGAAGCACATAATTCACATTAAGGGCACAGCACTTGGGTTAGTGTTTTACCTTTTGCTCCAACTACCATTGCAATTTAAATGTTTTAAGGCTAATCAAGTTAAACCATTTTAACTTTCACATATGAAAATATATATATTTTTTTAAACCAGTAAAGTGTTGTAGCAAAACCCCAAACAATTCCCCATTAGAGTGCCACATTCCAAAATGTACCCTTGCTGGGACCTTGGATTCAAGTCCTGAACTGCTAGATTTGAAACAAATCTTGGCATACTTTAAAATTCTAGCAGTAGGTGAGTGTCGTGGACGCTGCAGCGGGAAGCGAAGATGACTTTAGATATCAAGAAAAGATGTAGCTTGAAAAGAGAGCTCTTCCGTAGAAGACGTGAATTTTACTCCCCAAAATTATGTATGAAAATACCCTTTTAATATTGCATTTCTTTGTAAGCATAGACTCTGAAACAGATCAGGAACTAGATGCATCCCAAAAGGTGTTAATCAGTTAGAAAGGATGTAGAAATAGTAAATAAAATGTGAAAATAATTATCAAATGTTTGAGCCCCAACTTCCTCTAGTAGTAAGCTAGCATAAGATAATTTATTTACATTTGAAATTTTAAAAAAAGCACAAACAAAAGATGTTTCATGGAGCTTCTGCAGAAGAATTTCAGAAACTGCGAGTTGTTACCCAGCTGTATTGATTTAATTAGTCTGTGACACCACTTATTTATGCTTAAGCTTCTCACACATGCAAAAGTTGGTAATTCGAAGTAGCACAATAATTTGTGAGTTGTCTTCTGTGCTGCGTGTCATGGCTTTTAAATGACAACTTTGGTGTGCATGTGAGATGTTTAAGCATAAATAAATGATAATACACAGGCTAATTAAACTAATACATTTGTGTAGCAACTTGATTCTGGAATGACTGAAATAATCTTTCATGGAATATCTTTCAATAACGCTTTTTAAAAGTTTATATTTTTGAGGTAAATGAGGCTGTCATTTTGTTGTCCGTCCTTACTTTTCCCTAATGAAAGGGGAAACCAAAAAGCCTTGTAAAGATACGGTGTACTGCAGTATTTGGATGCAGCTGGCCCTGTTAAGCTTGAGATGAACTTGTCTTTGTTAGTTTGAAGAACCCTTAAAATGTATATAATAAAAGCAATGTAGTGAAATAGAATGTCCAAAAACATTCAGTGAATTATTTTGCTAAACCGTTTTATAAGGTACATGAAGTGGGAAAGATCAGCAACCTGTTCAGTTCCTTTTATGAGGAGGGCATTCAAACTATAGCACTGTAATTTCATTTAAACTATTTCAACTCAAGGTTTTTTGTAATACTTGCATCCAGTGATGTCTTTTACTGTCATGGTTTTGTGGTCTCAACTTAATGTTATCCCAACCATGTAATGCTAATCTATTATTTTGTTATGAGATTTTTAATAACTTCTCATTGAAGGAATCAGTGTGACATAACTGCAGATAGCACCCTGGGAAGGAAGTGTTGGAAGTAATCAGTTTTGCTCCTAAGGATTTAATCACTTTCTAGTTTACATTCACAATTATATAAGAAACAAGCTCCTACCAACTGCACATATCCCAGACTTTCAAAATGAGTTTGCTCTCTGCTCTGGCGCTAGTAGTAGGTGTCATTCTTCCCTACTCTGGCTGGCTAGTTTGTTGATCTAAATTTTCTGAAAATCTAATGAACACCCTGTTTGCAATGACAGTTTCTTATTAATGCCAAGTACTAAAATCAGTATGGAACTACTAAAAGTGTAAAAGTGTTGAGCAGGCAAATGGTGATTCCATGTACTCCTTCTATGAGCCTATGCTTTGCAAATTGGTAATCTTGTGTGTGTGTATTCAGTATGGAATCATATCTAATGTGTTCACATGTGTTTGGAATATCTATAGCTATGTGCTTACACAACCACTTCCCCACTGTGGCAAATGCAATAAGAATACACGGGGTTTTAAAGAAAATAACCCATATAAAACATGATGCAAACTCCTGGGGCTTTGCAGAATTACTAGATCTGTATTTATAACCTAGTAAAAGGCATGGTTGTATTAGTGGAAATGGGTGGTCTGTCTTGGCTAAAGAATAAACATGAAAACATCTTTATTTAATGGATTGCGTTTAAAGTCTTAAACGAGAATAGGGAGGAAAGAATTAAACTGGAACAGACTAATACTTAATTCTCTGCATCTGTCAAACCATTTCTGAAACCTAAAAGACAAAAATGTGAAAATATATATTTCTTAAATGTTTGTGATGGGGGGGAGGGCACTTTGCTTCTATCTAAGATTGCAGATTCTGGCCCACTTTCCTGTTATCATAAGATCAAAATAATCAAATTTATTCAGGTTAGCTTAGTGATTTTTAAGTTAAACTTGGTAATGGAATAAAAGTCTAATTGGCAATTAATGTTACAATGTAATATTATATATAAAACTGTTGACACTGTATTCTGTTTTCATACTGGCTTAAAATGCTGTGTGGTTAACAGCATATTAAATTAACAAACTTTGTACCAGCCACAAAAGTCCATTGTGCTTGCATGCTGATAATCCAAAATCCAAGCATTTTGTTGAGATGAAGGTGGGTGGTGTAAAAGTATTTTAATTATGATTTGTCCCCATAAGATTGAAACACTAACAGTGAAAGGGTCCCAAGGAGTAGATTGAAGGGAAAGTAAGAGTCTTACACGTTTGAAAGGAATGCAGTGGGCAAAGAAGTTTGCTTCCCAACAACAACAAAATTTCAGCCACTCTGGGGTTTTGAATTCAAATGTGTTCCTCAAGCGATTTACACAGTTGCTAGAAACACTTTGTGTCCAAAGGAGCACGTTGAAATGGGCTGGATTACCGGTCTCTACGTGTTATGGGGGACAGTAGAGGGGAAGCTGGTTAGTATTGCTGCATTAATCAAAATTCTGTGTTTCTGCTTGCAGACCCCTTACCATGTCAATCTTCTTTTGGCCGGCTATGATGAACACGAAGGCCCTGCCCTTTATTATATGGATTACCTTGCAGCCCTGGCTAAAGCTCCCTTTGCAGCACATGGATATGGTGCATTCCTAACCCTGAGCATTCTTGACCGCTATTACAAGCCAAGTAAGTATGAAGCCTATGGCAAAGAAACAATTCTCTTTCTGCTGACTAGTAAATCAAAGGCTTAATAAAGTGGGATCTTGCATTTGTGAATCATGTTGAGTCACTCTGCCTGTTTCTGTTGCTGTAGTAGGCACAGAGATTAGATAAAAAGCTTATGCTCTAATAAATTTGTTAGTCTCTAAGGTGCCACAAGTACTCCTGTTCTTTTTGCGGATACAGACTAACACGGCTGCTACTCTGAAACCAGAGATTAGATACTCATTCAGGAGTTAAGAACTAAAAATCTATAGCTTAGCTTTTCAGCAGAAATGGAGGCTGCAGTGAAACTAGACTTTTTCCACATGCTTGCAGTTCCTGTTTTAAAGTTAGGAAGTTAGATTTTTTTAATCTGAATTACTGACCTGTTAGTTCCTGGCCATCTTCATCTAATAAATAATGTTTTGATGGCTTGACTGCAGTATTTTGGGTACTATTGACTTTTTGCCCCAGGTCTTGCACTGATAATTTACTACTTAGCATTTCTATCTTCAGATCCCAAGAGACTAACAAATGGTAGTTAAATCATGGTGTTCAAAACTAAACAGTGAGGCGGGAAGATGTCTTCAGCTAGCATCTGCCTCTACAAGCTATAGTTCAAATACAACTCTACCTCGATATAACACCACCCGATATAACACGAATTCGGATATAATGCGATAAAGCAGTGCTCCGGGGGGGCGGGGCTGCACACTCCGGTGGATCAAAGCAAGTTCGATATAATGCGGTTTCACCTATAACGCGGTAAGACTTTTTGGCTCCCGAGGATAGCGTTATATCGAGGTAGAGGTGTACCTCTGCTGCTGCTGTATGTTACCTAGTTTGCTGGCTATGATGTGCATACAATTATCTCCCGAAGGTTCCCTCTTCAGAGTGCAGCCGTGTTTCCCATTTGTCCATAACTTGCATCAGTTCAATTCATAGCATGTTAAAAAGACAGAAAAATAAAACTGCACTCCTGTCAGATACGTTTATCTCATCCTTTTGCAGGTCTGGTGTATGGGGATGCTTTGTTTTGGCTGCTTTGCAACCTTTTCTGATGTAAACACTAAACAGTAGGAATAATTCTTTGCACATCTGTAGCTCTCAATGCTTTAAAAACATTCAAACTTAGCCTCTCTGATTGCCAGGAGACAGGGCAGCATTATCCTCATTTTACAGATGAGGAAACTTGAAACACAATTGAAATGACTTGTCCACATTGGAAGTCTGCAGGGCGGGGAATAGAGTTAAGCTTTTTCTGACTCCCTTGTACTTTAGCCACAAAAGCACTTTACCCATTGGCAGCAATATTTTGTGTGCAAAGTTTAATTTACTAACTCATAGCAGAGACCTTCCATTAGCAGTATTTCTATCTGCCTCTTGCAACCAGTGCAGCAAGAATCTGGCAGTTCTCTTCTAATTGGAGCTTATTCCACCTGAGCAGCAGGTGTGAGACGGGAACAAAAGCCCTTGAACCAAGTAGGCTGCATGCTAAACATGCATCTCTGTCATTTTTTCATTACTTGCATCTCCTGGAAGCGATGCTGCCTTTCTTCTCTTTCCCCACCCCTTCCAAAAGGAAAAAAATTAAGTACAATATGTTGTCACAGTTGGCCATCCCCACTGAATGCTGATTTTTTTTATCCTAATGTGTGAGAATAGCAGGAGCATCACACACGTGCCTTTCCCATTATTAAAGCTCATACCCAGCAGGGAATGTAGCACTAAAACCAATCCCCGCCCACTTTCACTGACTTGCAGCCGGCTGTGGACAGATGGAGCTGATTTAAAACTGTAATAAACTCAAGGAGAGAGAGACGGCTGGACTTCTCCGAAGCCCAGTCCCTGGCCATGGGAGGGAAAATTCCGTCATGCTTCCCATTGGTATAACAAATCGATTCTCAATGGCTTGTTGCAGCGCGAGTGCTTCAGTGCAGGGCATCCTCAGTACATATGGAATGTGTTTTCTGTGAGCTGGGAAGGAGGGTTTTTTTGGTGCTCAGCTGAAAAGTTGTTTAAATTTAATAAAAAGATTGACTTGAGAGAGATGGCCTCTAACTAAAGCAATCTGTGGGTGTTTTCTCCTTCAGGTATCACACGCGAGGAGGCAATGGAGCTCCTAAAGAAATGTCTAGAGGAGGTGAGTCGCCAAAGACTTGGGCCTGTGTGATCTTGAGAAAGGAATGTTTGTTTGCCTTCGTTTGCTGATATTTTTCCTGTTCCTCTGTCACATTTTTTTCCTGCCTTTGCCAGAAGGGGTAATAAATATACATTGGCCAGATGTGGAACCAGCTACTGAGGAAAAGGATTTGTGGGTACTTACATTGTCTTAGCATGGTTCATGTCCTCCAGAATGTAAACTTTAAGCTTAATTGCTTTTCTTTACTTCTGGTCCTTCCATACTTAACATAATATTGATGTAGACAGCCCTTGACTTTGTCTTTTTATGTTATTTCTGCCTAAAATGTTTTTATCCTTCTGATACTTATCCTGTGCTTGTGGTAAGTTTATTTTTCTATTACACATTTTTAAACTGCTTTCGCCCCTTAGTTCATAAGTTGAATAACCAAGTCTAACTCCGATAATAACTTGACCTCAGGCACTGAAGCGGTTGATCAGAAACTTTAGCAAAAATATCCTTTTCACACCGTAAATCTTTATAAGAGCAATACTTGGTGTCATTGTCTCTTGGAGGTTAAAGAGTTGAACGGGTGTTACGGGGGAGAAGTCTGCTGCAAAGGGCCGTACAAGCATTTTGGTGAGGTGTAAGGTTTTTAGTAGATTATTAGCTTTACTGTCAATTGTGGTGTCTGATAGTTAGCAAAGTATTTTACAAATTACTTGAGTGGGTGCTGCACAACCCTATCCTGACAGAGGTTTTGTATTATAGTTCTCTGACCATTACATGTCCTTACAGCTAGTGAGTTGAAAGGATAGTCTCGCATGGTAACTCAGTAGCTAGATAAGTACACAGTAGCTTTGCTGCTGTCATATGCTATTGAGCTCATAGTTTCTGGGACGCAACAAAAACTACCACGTTCAACTAATTTGCTTAACTTTGGATGCCATTGTAAATGTGCTTTAGAAATGTGCATAAATCTAGGGATCCTGCCTTGAATATACCTCAAGAACTGCAGGACCAGTTCTTCTAGAAGTTGGCCTACTAAGTAACTATTTGTAAACCAAGAACACACTGGGGGCATGTGAAGAATCATCTTAAACGAAGGCTAGTATATTACCATACAGTGCTACATGGAGCAGAATCTGCTACATTTTGGCCTCCGTGTCTTGTCTCAGTCAGTGACCTTAAGAGTCTAGTTAGTATCTGTGCTTCCTGTGGTACCCCCAATTATCACTACTACTAAAAAAATTAAAACCAAGAATGTCACAAGTGCTCACTATATTGGTGCACCCTAACCCAAAAATTCAAAACATACAAATAAGCTACAAAAGAAAATAACGTGACAGCAGGGCCTCTTCACTCAATGCAGTTCACCCTAATACAAGGAACAAACAATACCACATTGTATTTTCTATAATCAAGGCATCCTGCTCTCAAGCAAGGCAAGAAGTGGCGTTATCCTCCGTATATCAAACTGACCATTTATTTGAGCTCATAAGTGTCTTACCCTAAAGGTGACTTCAGCATTTGCCTAAGAAAGGGTTTGACCTTAACTAGTATGTGTTGGTTATTGGGTGGGGAAGTTTATCAATGTAAATACATCACAAGCAGAGGAGCTCAGGCCCCTCTAAAATGTTTGCCTGTTTGTATCTAAGTGTAATGGTAGAAAACAATTGTCATCTTCTCCACTTTAACTTGAATGAAAAATCTTGTTAGAGAACGGAGGTAATTCACGCTGAAATAAGAGGCACTGTGGGAGCCATGCTGCCAGTGTCTCATGCACGATTGACTGAAGTTTATATCCCAAGCAGTGCGTACAGTGGGGACCTGTTAAATACTTAGCCCTGGCACACAGTCAAGTGAATTTTTCAGCACAGTTGTTCTCTTGTTAGGTACTAGTTTAAGACAAATTCTTTAAGATGTACAACAAGATAAATTTGGGCATGACAAGTTTATTCTTATCGAGTCTAACACATTACATCACTGGGTGTGCAAGCTCCTTATTCAGATCCCAAGTCCTGCTTCAGATTTGTTCAAAAGGAATTTTAGGTAAATACTAAAACTCATAAGAGCAGAATAAAATATATTTATTTGCTTATGCAAGTTGGTAAGCTTAAAATGTTGCTGCTTGTGGCTTTTTTCCACTTGTAAAATCCATGTAATTCTTTAAGGTGATTATTCAAACCCTCCCATTTCTATTTAATTTCCAAACTGACTTCCACAGAGAACACAGTCAGTTCTAGCTCTCCAGGGTTCCTGAATATGAAAGGCACTTCTTAGTTTTGGTGTTCAGAAATGTTACAGAAACAAAGCGGAAGCAGGACAGAAATTGGAGGATAGAAACTAATGCTTTTAGGACATGCAACAATGTCTCTCTCTCAAAGACAAGAAATGTTTTTCACTTAAGCCTTGAACAAATCTTTTCCCTCTCTCTGTCTGTTAAACAGCTTCAGAAACGCTTCATCCTGAACCTGCCTTCTTTCAGCGTCCGGTTCATTGACAAAGACGGCATCCACGAAGTGGACAACATACCCTTTCCGAAAGTGTCATCCTAACCCCTGGGATCTTTCCTGAGCAGTCTTTCAGTTCATTTTTGTTTTTTTCTACTCGGTTGATGTACACAATTAATGTACTGCACTTGAGACTTCAAATAAAGATTGACATTGGCTATATCAATCTTATCACTTTATTCCATTAACCCTTTTCTCCCAAAGTAAATTAAATTGTCATTACTCTGCAGATGGGATTCTGGGATTGTCAATCTATGACTGTGCAGATAGCAACTTCCTTCCTTGCTGTTCTGCGTTCTTATCAGTGGGTCTCTGTGCTTTCTCCGCTTGTTCCAGTTTTGCTGCTCCAAATGTTTTCTCTTTTAAATTCTTGTTCGAATATTAATTTTCCCTTTCAGCAGTTAAGTATCCATCATCCATCCTCTCAGTACGTGCTGCAGTCCAGCAAGCAGCTGGTATAACGTTCCACTTGTCTTAGACAGCTTAACTTGATCTATAGAATAGTTACAAGAATTTATCCAATTTTATTTTATAGTAAAGGGGTCAACTATGAGAACATCTTAATATACTTCTCTTGGTCTCTTTGTTTTTGTTGTTTAGACCAAGTTGAAGTTGAGGGAAGAGGTGTTTTGGGAACAAGTATATGTAGGGGTAGAAAATGAGTATCCGCAGAAACTAGTACCCTTTATGGCTCAGTGGTTGGGGAAGAAATCCAGTTTCTGGAAAGTAACGTTTTGCTTGCCAGTTGGATCTTAGCCATCCTAAATTTAACAGTATAATTATTTTAGTATGAATCATGTGAATTAGGAGAGCACCACAAGTCAGGATGTCCAAAAGAACGTGTGCTAAGCTGCATCCATTTTTAACACATCTTTTGAATTGGGCTTAACTATAATATGCTCAGTAGGAAACTTTTAAATATTACCTGTGCCTCTCATGGATCTTCTGTGACCTATTCCACGCTACATAAAGAGAGCCTTTCTCATTCCATGAGAACAATAGCTAACCTGCCTAGGGTAAGATGGTGCCTCCATTCTAAAACCCCCTATTATCTGTCATGTAACTCCCATATAGTGGCTGACATTTGTTCAATCTTGGCCTAGAATTGAACTTCTTTAAAGGCTCAAACTTCACTCAGAAATCTGAGTTACCTGAATCTGGGGCTGAAGCGGTTTTCGACCATTTAAAATGTTCTGTTCAGATGCTTGTTTTGTGCTTGGATAACTAAATACTTGATTAAAATCTTCAGATGGTACATGTGAGATGTGCTTTTTTGTTCAGAAATAAAGGTGGGCACGTGAAAAATTATTTACAGTGGATAGTATTTTCAGCACTGTGTACCCATCATGGTCTAGTTCCCAAGTACAGATATTTGATCCTTCTGACAGATATGAAGATGAGTGGCTTAGACTTGGCAATCTTAACTTCCAAAGCATTCTTGATCTCCTACAGAAGTGTCCTTTTATGGACATATTTGTATTTCCAGTCTGACCTAGAGGGCCTACCTGAGATTGGGGCCTCATTGCGGGGGCTGTGCATATGCTTTGGGTGAAATTCTGATTCTATTGAAGTCAATGGCAAAACTCCCATTGACTTCAGCGGGGCTAGGATTTCACATTGGGGCGGTGATTCAAAGAGTTCAGTCTAAACAGACAACAGAGAGAGTATTAAATCCCTATCTTTGCATATAGAGAACTTGAGACTTGCCCAAGGTCACACAGGAAGTCTGTGGCAGAGTTTGAGTCCCAGTCCAGTGCCTTAACCAGGAAACAATTCTTCCTTTCTAGGCCATCCTTAGTTGTATCTAATTTTGACCTATGGTCCCATCAGGCTTTGCTAGGCTGCACTTATTTATCAGTTGTTTTTATTATAGTTGTGACAGCAGCGGCTTTTATTTTTAAGCCAGTGGCTCATACCTTTCTGAAACAATCTTGTGCTGAACTTAACTCAGAATTTTAAAAATCTTTTCATACTTTGTACATTGTAAAGAAACAAGATCTCAACAAAATTATTTTCTCTTGGCAGGTCACATTTAGCGTGATCGGAGGAACCTTAACTTGGAATGTCCTGACTTTTTGGTGGTTGAAATCTCACCCTTACTGTGTTGCATTAATGTCTTTTTTAGCTTTTAGTAAGCAGCATCTCTAATTTATTTTACCACCAATCTTGAATGTTTTTGCATGTTTCCTGTTTGTTTTAGAAGACATCATTACAGATTGGCTGAGCTGGTATGGGGTTTTCTTCGCTGCATACCAAATAGAAAAAGTGTTTAACTATCCCCTCATAGGAGGCTCACTGTTTTAACAGACACCAAAATATGGGTGTAGTGGTTGTGCCATTAAAGCCCTGTTATGTCCTGGCAAAGGATCTGCCTTGAGTTTTTTTTTATTACTGGCACCCATCTGCATGCAGGTGATTAATAAACATAAAACAATTATTCCATTCCAAACAGCCTTGGTGGAGTCAGGTTAGAGTGGAACATATGTTTTGCCTGAGGGCAGGGACCAAGCTTTGAATCCCCACTGACTGAGGGATACAAGGAGTTGCATCAAGAGCCAACAGAGTGGCAACCTCCAGGAATAAATATGGACTTCCATTACCCACAAAGCAATTGAACAAAGAATCTGCAGAATTTTTTAAAATGCTCCTTCGACTCTGTAATGAAGCACTTCATCCTTCTTGGGGCATCTTAGTTTTACATTTTATAAGGACTCCTACTTTGAAGGAGAGGGAGAGACATACTTTTTGCTGGATATTTTTCCTACGGTGATGTAGCATTTAACAAGTCATTGCCACCTAACTGAAAGCCAGCCCTAATATTTAATCTCCTAGAACCAAGTGATAACCAAGTCCTAATATAATATACCTCTCACTGAACAAGCCCTGTGTTCATGTCCCAAGGAGAATTGCACCAAGTATATATAAGCAGCTGATTTTTCCTACACTTATTTCCAGTTTCCATATGTATGACTTGATTTCTAAAGCAAATTGAAATTTGTCCTTTCATTAAAAGAATGTGTCCAAATGTCTGTTTAAAGATCTGCTGGATTGTTTTTAGATTTATATGAATGCTGCAACTGTAAATCTCTTGATGGTCTTAGCGAATTTCAAGTTGCAAATTGGTCAGTAATGCTTTGGATAGAGTGGATGGAAGGCAAAGATCTCCCACCCCAGTTGTGTGCTGAAAAGGGAAAAAACAAAACTTTGTCTTTTGCATATAAATACTGTGTCAACTTTAGCTCCAGAGCCCATGAAACTTCATTTATAAAAAATATCCTAGATCCTATATTCTTTGACGGAATTAAACTATTGCAGAATAAAATGGTTTCCATTAAAAACAAAAAGCTTGATATAAAGAGAAGTTATAATGCTGTGACCCAGGTTAAAGTATTTCTAAGTTATTGCAACATCTACATTGAGCTGTTTGCTTTGCTTTGGCTAATAATCCTGACCATATGTTTTATTACCAAAGCCTTAGGGCCTAAAGAGTTAACAAGGCACTCTTCTCATTTTAGATTTCCTGTTTAAAGATGGTCTTTTCCTGAGGACTGCGTGCATGTAACAGATCAGTGCACCAGCTCATCTCTTTGTGAGCCTAGAGTTTGCCTTAAGATCAGTTTACAAGGGAACTGAATCTGTGCCTTAGGCCATGTCTACACTGAGTGCTTGGGATATGTATACAGATATGCTATACCAGCAGAGCACTCCTCGTGTGGATATAGATTATACTGCCAAAGCTGCTTTTGATCGTATCGTTTATTTCACTCAAGGGGATGGGAATAAGATGTACTTGCAAAAGTGTAGCTTTGTCAGTATAAACTGTATCCACTCTAGGAGCTGCTTCTAGCACAGCTATGCGAGTCCGAGATTACACCCTGACCCACATAGCTATGCTGGCAGAAGTTTGTAGTGTAGACATGGCTTTAGGACCATTTTACTACCTGGAAAATCACTGGGAGCCCTTCTTTGGTAATAGATTTGTGCATGTGGAATGGGGTATGGCAGCGTCTCAGTGCCAAGTGAACACACAACAGCTTAGGACAAGCGATAAAGAAGATTCTTACCTAAGTGAAACTAGGGTAAATACCACTTCAAAAGTTATTTTTCCTCCCTTGGTATCCTGCTGTTAATTGAATTGTCTCATTAGACTGACCTCACACGTGGTAAGGCAACTCCCATCCTTTCATGTATTTATACCTGCTCCTGTATTTTCCACTCCATGCACCTGATGAAGTGGGTTGTAGCCCACGAAAGCTTATCCCCAAATAAATTTGTTAGTCTCTAAGATGCCACAAGGACTCCTTGTTGTTTTAGGGTAAATAATATAGCTAGTTGTACATTATAATTGAAAATAACGTAGCTGCCCCGTCTTCTGTGCACAACCATCAAGCTGATTACTGATGCCGAGGCAAGGGTACCACTAAAGGCATCACCAAGGCACTTCATGCAAGTTTTCTGTCGGCCTATCCTATCCAAGTGTTTACTCTGTCTAGCTTGTTAAATACAGTGGGTTCACAGTTCAAGCACCTGTGCCTGAGGTATTGATAACATGGTTTTAACTGCACATTAGGAGTAGACAAGGATCCACTATCAACAGGAGCATATACAATAGAACTTCAGACTTACGAACATCTCGGGAACTGAGGTTGTTTGTAACTGAAATGTTCAGAACTCTGAACTAAACGTTATGGTTGGTCTTTTTAAAAGTTTACAACTGAACATTGACTTAATACAGCTTTGAAACGTCACTATGCAGAAGAAAAATGCTGTTTTTAACCATCTTACTTCAAATGAAACAAGTACAGAAACAGTTTCCTTGTCACATCTTCTTTTTTATACTTTCCCTTTATTTTTTTAGTAGTTTTACATTTAACACAACACGGTACGGTATTTGCTTTTTTTTTTTTTGGTCGCTGCTGCTGCCTGATTGTGTACTTCCAGTTCCAGATGAGGCGTGTGGTTGACGGGGCAGCTTGTAACTCTGTTGTTTGTAACTCTGTAACTGTATACAAATCAGCTGGCCTGTATAAGGGAATCTGGAACAATCTGATCAAAGTCAAAGAGAATTTGGGAGGTATTGTAATAAAGTGATTTTGGTGCCAGTTCTCATGGAAGGAAAAGAGTGATCCTGGTAATTACTGTCCAACTTCTGTCCCTAGTAAAACA